ACTGATTAAGTCCTTTGGATGAAGGATGAAACGTCTAAAAAAAAAAAAAAGAAAGAAACTGTCCAGATGACCTGACTGAACATTGTTGTTTTTTTTACCTGGATTATTGAGGATGAACTTTGATGATCATTAAAATTCGTTCAGAGAGATATTTTGATAACACACACACAGAGACAGAGGCAACGACATTGTTTTCTGCCTTCACCGTTTAGCAACTGACTATGACAATGGAGCAGATCAGGTGTTTCTGTGTAAATGTATAAAAGTTATTCTGTTGTCTCAGCTGTATAAAAATAACCTCCAAATGCAGCCAGATGAAACATCTCACACCAACAGTCTCTGCAAGCTTTAAACGCTTTCAGAGTACCAGTTTTGGAAACATTTTCCCCTCAACTGTTGCAAGAGAGTTTGTTGTGATGTCACATTTCCAAAAACGTGTTGATCTAATTTTGTACTCTTGTAATTGTTCATGATGTTTGCAGATACCTTTATTAGTGTCTCTGGGCTTTAACAAGCTGGTGGTGTAGCAAACCTCAACAACTGTTTGTATTTTTCAGACGCTTCCTGACAGCGCTATCGCCACATATGCTGCCTCACTAAAAGACAAAGGTGCTCTGGTACCTGCACTCTACAAGGTCATCCGAGAAAACTACAGCGATGTATGTAAATGTTTTGATTTATTCAACCTGGTATATTTTACGGAGCCCCGGAGGGGACATGGGGGATTTTTTTCTTATGCGTTCCCACTCAAACGTTTTAGTGTTCCCTCAATGCTGTACTGTATGTAGCGTTACGTCACAGACAACAGCAACAATGGAACAGACACCGTATTTGAGGTTCATGCAGGAGTTTGTGACTTGGAGTTATATAAATGAACTGAATTGAATTGAATTTTGAAATCAGCCTTAAATATAAGGATACCCAGTGTGTGCTGCAGTTTTACGTTGGATATTTCACGTTCATGCTCCGTGGATTCAGAGGTGGCTTCCTCGATCCAGCTGATGCAGGCAGTCTGATTTCCTTCAGCTGCTCTGTCACTCCGAGGAGCGATGGTTCTCTTAGGGACCGGCAACAAATTACTCTATTTTCAGAGTATTTGTCAAAGCAGCATCATGCATCATAACTAAAGTTTTCTCAGTACATTTCTGCATGGTAACAAATTGTGAATTTTCTCACTATTTAAAATCCAAAAGAACAAGGTGGCACTTGTGTTTCAAAAATACTGTAACTTTCTTTTAAAGCATCAACGTTCATGCTCAATCATCCAGGTACAAAATACAATAATGGTCAGTCAGGTCATCTGGACAGTTTCTTTTTTGTGGAAAGATGTTTCGCCCTCTATCCGGAGGGCTTCATCAGTCACCAGCAAAACCAGTAAACTGGTTGGTCCACTAAAGGAGTGTACTGCTTAGTGGGGAACACAGTTTACTTGGGACTCCTCAGACTGGTGAAGTCTTCTGGAAGTGTGTGCTGAGTGTTTTTAGTTAATGTTTTTCTTAGTTCATACCTTAGATCTTATTACTGTTTTTCTTTTACACACATTTTAATACTTTTGTTGGATGTAACTGGGACCCTGTGTACACAGTTTCATTCCACCACATGCACCACATGTGGTGCCAATGACACATAAAGAATCTTGAATCTTTGAATCCTTGAATGAACTTTGATGCTTTAAAAGAAAGTTGCAGTACTTTTGAAACACAAGTGCCACCTTGTTCTTTTTTATTTTAAATGGTGAGAAAATTCACGATTTATTATCATGCAGAAATATACTGAGAAAACTTATGATACATGGTGCTGCTTTGACAAATACTCTGGAAATATATCTAAAATAGTATCATGGTGTTCAGGCCAAGATTTAGCCCAGTAATTTGTTGACTGTCCCTAAGAGAACATCTCTCCTTGGAGGAGGGACAGACTGAGCAGCTGAAGGAAATCAGAGTGCCTGCGTCGGCTTGAACGAGGAATCCCTGAATCCACGGAGCATGAACGTGAAATATCCAACGTAAAAGTACTTTTACCACTGCAGCACACACTGGATATCCTTATATTTAAGGCTGATTTCAAAACAAAACTCCATTCAATCCTGTCATCTGGACCAGTTTCTTTGAGGGAGGAACGTTTGTTGTCTGTGAGGTAACACTACATACAGTGCAGCATTGCGAGAGAACGCAAAAACGTTTGCGTGGGAACGCAAAAGTAAAAAAAAAAATCCCCCACGTCCCCTCCGGGGCTCCGTAATATTTTGTTCTGAAACTGGACTAAATCCTTGTCACGCAGCTTGATCATTCAGATTCCTGTAAAGTTCAGTTGACACTGATTGTGTGTGGCCTAACCATGTTTGTGCCATTTTTTGTTTTTCCGTCCTCCCCAGCTGCTGGAGCCAGTGTGCCACCAGTTATTTGAGTTTTACCGGAGCGGTGTGCCGCAGCTGCAGCGTTTCACGCTACAGTTCCTGCCAGAGCTCTTGTGGAGTCTCCTGTCCGTTAGTGCTGCCAGAGACGCCCACACTTCCGGCTGCATTGAAGCACTGCTGCTGGGCATTTACAACCTGGTAGGGGAGAGGATGAAGGCAGTGACAGCAACGTGTGTGCTTTCTGCATGCTGTTTGTAGCCACAGATTAGCATTTTTATGTATCATTAATATATGTGTTAGTGTTGGTAATAGCAATAAAACCTTTCCGTTGTAATTAGTTCTGACACAGGGAAGCACTTGAAAGCATTAAACTTTAATGTTTGAGTGTAACCATACAGCTCTTAAAGCAGCGCATTGAACTGCTTAGCTTTTTTCTGTATCACAAGTTAACATATTACTTTGCATTATGTCTGTGTTGTTAGATGGCTGTCTACTTAGAATGACAGGAAGTAAGGGTTAGAAATAAGGGAACAGAAAGACAATTGCATTGCACTAATCTTCTCACAGAGTAACGCTGACACCATTAATAATGAATGTATTGAGTTCCACTTCCATCCACTTTGGATATAAATGCTCCATCAATCATCGTGCAGCGTTTTCTAACTTCATCTGTGAATATTAGAATAGGTCAGCTGTCACTCTGCTTACTGGCTGGCTCCTAATAATCTGTTTGACATTAACATGCACGCAGGGGACACCAAAACCCTGGGGATTTTGTGTCTGCGTTCAGTGTACACACAAATGGATAAATGCACACCATCAGTCTGGGTGGGGGGAAATGAGACCCCTAAGTTCTAGCTACAAACACCCACACATAATGCATGAGCTCTATACACACTCTTTAAATTTTTAAGTCACACAAAGGAGAAAAAAATACTGTTCTTGCCCTCAGAAACATTTTTCCCACTCTTCCTGTGTTTCTCTCTTACAGGAAATAGTTGATAAAGATGGACAAAGTAAAGTGTTATCTTTCACCGTTCCTTCCTTATCCAAACCCTCGATATACCACGAGGTATGTCCACATGCTTACACAAATCTTTAGTTTGAATTTGATGACATTTATTGACACTCCACTTTGTCACTTCCAGCCTTCAGCCATTGGGTCTATAGCTCTTACAGAAGGTGCTTTAGCCAATCACGGTCTGAGCAGGGTTGTGTACAGCGGGCCACACCTCCAGAGAGAAACGTTTACTGCACAGAATAGGTAAGAGGATTGATGAACTTGTCTTTTTTCACTGGCAGTGAGGTTAAACAAATTGTTTTAAGCTTCATTTTTCTTGCAGCAGAATGCCAGTCTTAGAAAAAAATGGCAAGCTTTTAACCAAAATAGAATTGTGCACAGAGGATGAAATGTCTGAGAGAGATCACATTTGGATTTGAGCTGAGCAACATTTATTCCACAAATATCCTATTAATATCTTTGTTAGACTGTCTGGGAGACACAAAGACAAGTCATGATGGGGCGTTAGCTATTGTCATAACCAATTATTTTTTTTAGAAATGATACGATTGCCGATGGCAGTTGTCTTTTGTCCTTGTTTTAGTTGAAGTTATGTTGCTGTAAGCATTTCTTAAATTAGTGTAACTCAAAAAACATCTAGAGGCCATAATGACCTCAGGTGAATGTTCTCAGATTTTCTTATAATTTTTTTTACTGTTTTCAGACTAGATGGGTTGCGAAAGCTGGTATTTAATTTTGTTCTTTTCAAGAGTTTATATGTGGCAAAACTAGTTTGGTCGCTCTCCAAAATCTGTTTTGAAATTCCTAAATAACAGTTTTGTCTATGTCAAATTTTTATAGTTAAAAAAAAAAAAAGATATATATATTTTTTTTAATCTCCAAACCCTATGTGTAAATTTTCACCACTTTTCATTGCCTGTCCAAACAGGTCTCACTTGTAAATGAGTCTTCGAGGCTCAATGTGACTTATCTGTTTAAATAAAGGTTGATTGAATGAATGAATGAATGAATGAATGAACATTTCTCCATTAATTTAATGCAATTTATATAGTGCCAATTCACAACAACAGTTGTCTCAGTAAACTGTGCAAAAACAAAAATAAAATAAAAAAAACAAATCATAAATCTAATTCAGCTCTAGGTTCAAATAAAGTTGCAATCATTTTATTCCTATTACAATACTTTCACATACAGATCAAATTGTATTGCTATAACTAAGGGAGGCAGCAGGTTGCATTGAATCCCTTTAACACAATCCTCCATCTCGAACAAGTACATCAGTGACAGTGGAAAGGACCAACTCTTATTTAACAGGAAGAAACCAGAACCAGGCCCAGGATGGGTGGCCATAGTGGTGTAGTCTACGTGATACGCAGCTGTACAGATTATACCCACTAGAAAAGCTTAAGAATTTCAGTATACCCACTTAAAAGTGCCCAATAATACATGACATGACATTGTAATGACATTATTATTATTACATCATTAGGCATGTCATTGATATGTTAATCGGCAGTTAAATGCTTCTGTAACAGTCTATATGCAGCGCTTGTTTATTACATTCGCTTATCCAGCAAATTATTGTATAATTAATACTTCTGTACTTAACTACCTAATAACAAAGTCCATGCTCAATAATCCAGGTATACAATCCAACATTTTTCAGTCAGGTCATCTGGACAGTTTCTTTTTTTTTGGTGCTGAAACGTTTCGCCTTCGATCTGGAGGGCTGCATCAGTCAAGGAAACACAAAACCCAAAGCTGTTGGGGGAAGAATCAGTTTTGTTGTGTGTTTCTTTGACTGATGTAGCCTTCCAGATCGAAGGCGAAACGTTTCAGCACAAAAAAAAACAAAAAAACTGTCCAGATGACCTGACTGAAAAATGTTGGATTACTACCTAATACTTGAACATGTTTTGCTTTTGATACTGTTTTATAAATTCTATAACATATTTTTAATCCAAAGTCACCTGTTGTACAAAGTTTGTTGTTCATTTATTCAAATATAAGCATCAGAGACATTTGGAAATGTTCAATATGCTTAAAAATCAAAATAAATTGACGATTATGTTGTACTAACCGGTGTACTTTGGTTTCTAAGCACAGTATACGGGCTGACTATGGTAAAGTTAGTTTTACGTTGAACGTTGGACATTCACGCTCTGTGGCTTCAACAGTGTTCAACATCCAAAGTAAAACTAAATGCGGTATACCCACTACAAAAATGTAGACTACACCACTGGGTGGCCATCTTGACTGGCTGGGGTTAGAGAGGACAGGAAAGAGACACAGACTGAAGGATCGGTTCAGGTGTCGTTTCTATGGAGGAAAAATAAGAAAAGCACAGGTTATTGACGGCAATAATTGTTAATGCAAACATGGAGAGTTAAACAGTTAAAGACAGCAGCACAACTAACGGATAACTCAGGAATCCCAAGCCAACCATTACTGTAGGATTTATTAAAAAGAAAAGTTTTACCGGAAATACATTAAGATATTGGCCAATGGAGAGAAGCTAAAATTGGAGAAATAGTCCTAACTTTCATCAGAACTCTAGCAGCAGGAGTTTTGCATCAACTGGAGTTTTTAAAATAAATCCAATAGTTCATCACAGAAATAAAATTTGACAAGTTTTTCTACATCTTTTTGGGATAAGATGTTTCTATTTATATACTGAAAAAATGGATAAATGCAACACTTTTGTTTTGCTCCTTTTTCAAGAGCTGAACTCAAAGATCTAAGACTTTCTATGTACACAACAGAGCTTCTTCTCAGATGTTTTTCACAAATTTGTGTAACTCTGTTAGTGAGCACTCCTCCTTTCCATCCACCTCCCAGGTGTGGCCTATCAAGATGCTGATTAGACATTAGACATTATTAACACGTCAATTGCACCTGTGATATCAGTGGCATTGTTCTGTAAATAAACTGCACATTTTAGAGTGGCCCTTTGTTGTGGTCAGCCTAAGTCACACCTGTACCATAATCATTCTGTCTAATCCGCATCATGGCGTGCCACACCTGTGAGATGGATGGATTATCTCGGCAAAGGAGACCTGCTTACTAACACAGATTTACACAAATTAGAGAAAAATATCTGAGAGAAAAATATATTTTGTGTACATGGAAAAAGTCTTACATCTTTGAGTTCAGCTCATGAAAAATGAGCAAAATCCAAAGTGTTGTTTATATTTTTGTTCTGTGCACTAATGTTGCACAGGTGGAAGGATGCGGTCCAGGTAACAATTTAAATGTGGGGGTTTATAAGCGTGTCCCGGTCACTAATGTGTTTAATGTTTTGGTTTGTCATTTTGTAGTGCACTTGAGTCTAATGCACCGTTTTAACAGTTTGTTTTCTGTTAATGAGATTTGAGGTGCTGACCTTCCTGCTGCTATGCTACAACGCTGCTCTCAGCTACATGACCTCCACCTCCCTGCAGTCCCTCTGCCAGCTTAGCTCCAGGTAAAAGATGCACAGGAGAACCTAATGACATCTAGCATTTGTTGGGCTCACCACTTTATAATTGAATGCAAACAAACACACGAGCGTACCTTAGTTTTGCATCATAGTTGATGTGATTTATGGGGGCTTTTCCCCTACATATACACTTACATGCTCATTTGCAAGCGCTTGCTCATCTGATCCTCTTATAGACTTTGCAACTAGCGAGAGCCAAGATACCACTTTTTTTTTTTTGGCATAGAGCTGACATGTGCACACATCCAGGCTCAGTGATTTTGGTAATCTGCCAACTGCAGCTGAGCATTGGTCTGATGAAGAGTCAGCTTGGATTTCCACAAGAAAGTTTATGTAATGGCAGTGACAAAATTATAAATAAATAAATGACACTGAATTAAATATGCAGAATTTTCTCGAGTTTCAAAGCAATCCTTTTCAACCTGAATAAGAGCTATTTGAAAATGATTTACCATGCATTATATTATCTGTGTGTTTTGTGAGCGTTTATATTGAACAACTGTTTGGTTTCGTATCAGCGTACCACAGGGAAGTAAGCTGTCGTAATGAAGCTGTAATCAAGCCACCCCCAGTGGGGTGGTTTTCCCTGCTTCTCTGTTTCACTGCTATGTTGTGTTTTATTGTTTTTCTTCACTAGAGTGTGTATATGCGGTTACCCACGGCAACAGATGCGTCGCTATAAAGGCATCAGCACACGCCTGACGGTTACGTCTGAGTTCTTGGTTCAGCTCATTACGGGGATCCACTACGCGCTGTGAGTGTGCACACATGATCACATGAAGCCAGTGAAACTCACACAGGTTTTTAAATTCCCAGATTTTCTACAGTATGTTCGGTACCAGAAAAGTCTTGAACCAGCCCTGAGTTTTCACGTTTTGCTTGCAAGGAGCCAAACTTTCTGGTAATCTCTTAAAGCAGCCTTGAGCAGCTGTTCTCCAGGCTTTCTGACGGTCTTTTCTTTGCACGTAGGCTGTTTTCACTCATTTTCATGTCAGTTCTGGTACTCAACCACTTTAAAAAGAACGTTTTATTTATTTATTTATTTTTTCATAAATGTGAAGCTACTTAACACCAATCATTTGACAAATTCAAGTATTGAAAGGCTCCTGAATTTCAAGGTGAACAATTGCTGTGTATGAACAACATACAACAAAGAACCCATTTTAGCCTCAGGTGCAGCTTGTTGAAAAGACACATAATTCGTCCTCATCTTTGTAGGAAAAAATGAAGACAAAATCTGACAGGCATAAAATACTATTCTTGCAAGGGGATTTCAAAAGAGCTGTAGGCAATAAAATAAAAAAAAGTGTGGCTTCTTGGAGAAGTAAAGAAAAAGTCAAAACTCTTTACAGTACTTTATATTTAATGTTTATTTAACTGATAAATTGTGAGCTAAGTAACACACATAAGACCATATTTACACAATCTACCATTCTCACCTATTTCTTAACCATGTAACATTGGAGTTTTAAACATTTTTATAAAATTGTACAAAGAAAAACTTGTGAAATTATTATCTCCATTTGTGAAGAAATGTATTTTATGGTTATAGTCTCCTTGGTGTGAATGCCTAAAAGTGCTGGTTGGAAACTTGGCATATATTTTGTGCACTGCAGTTTATTATGTTTGTTTCCGTGTTTCTGACTTTTTATAGGTGTAATGGTGAAGTTGAACTGGGCTCCAAAGCACTGGAAGACGTTTTGTATCGAGCTCAGCTAGAATTGTTCCCTGAAGCTTTATTGGTGAGTACATTTCTCTGCTACAGTCTTGGGTTTCTTCACTGCTTTTAGTCCTAAACGTGTGTGTGTGTGTGTGTGTGTGACAAAAAGAGCATGTGATAACGATGCACATGCTGGCCTTTAGTTTTAATTTATTGCTCGCCACGATATGCTGCATTGTGTTGGTCTCTGTGTGTGAGGGACTGTGGACAAAGTGTAATCCCTGTAGATTATTTACATGCTTTTCCCTCCGCTCAGTTAAGCTGTAATCCTCGAGGCTTTGGGAGTAGAGGATTGGATCTAGTAAGCTCACTATATTACTACACAAGTAAAGGTGTGCTCTTGTACAACAATCAAAACGTACAGCATTTGAATACATGTTTAGTGGGAAGGCTGGTTTAGATTTAGGTTAATGTTTTTGTTAAAGGATCAGCTTGTGGGCTCATGCCCCAAATGCACACACCATTTAAGTCTTGTGTGTCTTTTAGTTGCAAGTGGACAGCACCAGGTAGCTTTTAGCTTAGCAAACCTTGACGATTTGTTCATACAGCAACGTTACAGACAAAAGACATATTGTGGTGTGATCTTGATGCCCTTTATATTATTTTTACCAAACTGTTACACGATAATCTGTGCAAATAACACATCTGATGTAACAGCAAGAACAGTTTGTCATGTAGAGTTGTGCCACACGAAGCCTTTTTTATGCATTTTATATGTGACACTGTGATGCACATGCAGAAACTTTAGTGGATTCATTGCTCAGATATTAATTCAGTCACATCAAAAAGACAGTAAGACATGAATCAGATGTAAATTGTAAATATAGTTTGTAAAGCATAAATTGATGTGTGCAAATGTAATACACTTTGTCACTTGATGAAACTCTGTCATCATATCAGGAGTAACGTAGTTTTGGTGTTATTGCATTTAGATACAGTCTGGCCTTCAGACTCATCAGTGATAACCGGAGGGTGTGTATATCATATAAACACGTGTTGTGTTTGTACATGCAGCAAGTGCCAGTACCACATATTCAGATTCAGAAAACTTTATTTATGCCAAAGAGGCAACACCAACCTTTTCTCATGTACGCTTTGTCCAAAATAAAGACAACTCAAACAAGTATTATTTACAAATTTGAGTTGGCAGAAAATAAATGTAAATGTATGGTGGTTGGTCAGAGAAATAGATGAATATCACTTAATTCTGTCATTTTTAAATATATTTTTTTAATTTAATGAAACTCTCTTATCTAAATGAATACTGCAGTGAATATTGCCAGAGGAAAAAGCTGTTTGTTCTTGTTGTTCTTGAGTAGATGAAGCCACATATCTTCTTTTAGCTGTCAGGAGACTAAACGGCACATGAGAGGGGATCAGTACTTGGACCACTGAGGTGCAGGTAGTGACTTACTTTGTTCTGAGCAGGTCCTTGCAGGTCCTCTGTCTGATGTATTTACACCAACCTGTGCACACGTGTGGCACAGCTGAACTGACCTGTGGCTGTTGTTAAAGGTAGAGAGAGCTGAGTTTGACACGCTCGCACCATTTTTATCAGCTGGGGCAGCTGTGGCTGAGTGGTTAGAGCAGTCGTCCTCCAGTGGGAGAGATGGGGGTTCGATTCCACCAGCAGTCACACAATGAACTGTCCCTGGGCAAGACACTGAACCTCTCGTTGCCTCTGGTGTCCCATTGGTGAATGAATGGGATCTAAAGCGCTGATCAGTCTTTCTGTAGAATGATTTGTTCAGATTATCTTTGTAGAGATGTAGTAGAGTGCTGTATGAATGCGTGTGTGTGTGTGTGTGTGTGTGTGGAGGCAAATGAGGGCACAGATTGTGTTGTAAAGCACTTTGAGTGTCTTGATTATCTAGAAAGGCTTTATATAAGTCCAGTCCATTTACCATCACTTTGTTGAAGTCACTGAAATGCCGCAGATCCAGAACACTCAGATTTATCAGTGAAGCATCTGTTTGTCTGTCTGCACAGAAAGATGTTAAAGTAGCTGAAGTAATGAGTAAGAAACGTTGTGTTTATCCCTCCATCCATTTTCTTTACCCTCTTTTTTTTGTTCAAGTCACGTAGGAGGTGGCGCCTATTTCCAGCAGTGGTGTTGAAAGGGTCGACCTGTACACCCTGGACAGAACACAAGTCCATCACAGGGTTTCAAACGGATAAGACAACTAACCAATCACATGCGCACTCATAGGGACAACTTAGTTATCAGTTAACCTAACATGCAAGTTTTTGGTCTGTGGGAGGAAACAAGACGGTTTTCAGTCAAAACAAAAGCTCATCAGTGTTTTTCTTTTGTGATGCGTGTGTAATTACGGTCATGTGATCTTTCTTATTTTCCAAAGATCAATGTTTGGTGAGGAAAAGTTGCAATGTAGTCTGTTTGGGGGGATCTTGGAGCAGTGCTTATCTCTTTGTCCCATTTGTGTGAGTCCTTCCATCAAACTCTGGCATTATTTAAAATCAACACGTGGATGTTTATGTCTTCCAACCTTCAGGCGGGTAATGCCATCAAGTCGTCACTACACGGTGCAGCACTTAAGAGCAACAATAAGGAGGGTGGACGGAGCATCCAAGTGGAGATCACTCCCACCGCCTCCAGAATCTCCCGCAACGCTGTCACTTCTCTCTCTATACGGGGTCACCGCTGGAAGAGGCACGGTAAGATGCACACGCAGGGTAAAAGCACTTTGAGACCTACGAAAGCATGGGAGCTGAAGTTGTTGAAAGAACAGGATACTTTATATATCTTTTAAACATATTATAATCCAGCTTTCAATTCTTTAGTAATACATTTGTCATTCAACAATTCCACATCAGAGGAGAATCAAGAGGTTAATTTTTAATTCAGTTCAATTCAGTTTATTTATATAGCACCAAATCACAACCAAGTTGTCTCAGGGCACAGAGGATAACTCACCCGTTTCACTGACAGTCAGTGTTGCCAGATTGTGCGGTTTACTGCCAATTGGGCAGTTTTTATTCTGATTTTGCTGGGAACTCTGGAAATATTTTTGTTGGATTGTTGCATTTTGCCACATATTGTTAAAATACCTTGGCTTGTACTGATGTGTGTTCATGTTCAAACAGTAAATATACTGTAACAATACATTGATTGCGCAGATTTTTGTGTGATGTGGCAGATTTTAACAGATTTTTGGGCTGGAAAAGCTCGACTCTATCTGGCAACACTGCTGACAGTCATCAAGTTGAATCATCAGCTCAGTTCGGCTATTTAAAATATGATGGCTTTTGGAGGTAAAACTGCACTAACTAGAATTTATAGATTTTATTTCAGATAATTATATTAGAAGTTTATTGAAATGTTTCTGTTCTGATTAAAATAAATGAGGCTTAACTCAGAATTGGGAGAAAACGACTCTCTTTTCCCAGTAGGCAGATCCATCAGGTAAATTACAGCCTTCAGCTAGTTTAATTAGACGTTTTATCTTGAGTCTACACCCATGGCTGCTGCTCTTTTAGGCAGGAACCGAGTGAAAGGTTTGCTTATGTTTAAACCTTTGTGATTTGCACTGATGGAGGAAAAAAAAATTATTTCATGCGTTAGAATGAGTCGTGATCACTTCAGTTATGTTCATCATCATATAGCATGCTCTTGTGTTCTGTTCATTATAATTTATTTATTTATAATTTTCTGCCATCACGTTTATGACCTGTTTTGTGTTTCTGTGGTTGTGTGTGCCTGTGCACACGACCGTCTTCTTGTAATTTTTTTATGTGTGTGTGCATGAAATACATCCATCTTTGTGTTTGTGTGTCTGTGATTTGTCTACGTTGTGTCCCGCTACCCTCCATGCTCCCCCTCACCAGAAACCCAGGAGGTGAGTTTAGACGGAGATCCGGCGCTGGGGGGCGTGGCCGTCCCAGAGATCAGTGTGACTGGCATAAACGGCGATCGGATGGCTAACGGAGACTCCCTGAGGCCACGCCTTGATGGACGCACCCATTTAGACGGCGACGTGTTGGGTGCCTCCTCCGAAGTCAGCCTAGACGCACGAAGTCATGACCATGGGAGTCGGAGTCAGGAGGTCAGGAGGCAGAAGTCTGTGAGGCGATTGGTGGAGAATGAGGGTTCTGGGTCCGCCTCCACAGGGAGGAGCCAGTACTAAGGTCCAGCCCCTCCTTCCCCCTGCACCACTCCCGGGGTAACCTAGGTAACCATGTGTGGAGGCTGATCTGAAAAGCTGCATGATGACTTTCCTTTTAACTTTGGCGCTGGGCTCCAACTCCTGTCTTCACCTAACTGCACTTATTCCTCTCATCTGTCTATCCATCGTCAGCCATTTATTCACTCTCTCCTTTGTGGCTACAGTTTCCTTATTAAGACCAGCTTCTGAAGCTCCCCAAGTTCACACTAATAATTTACATTCTTTCTAAAAATAATAATAATAATCTTTGCTGTGTGATTTAATCATAAATTTGTGACGTGAGAATACGTTCTATAGGAAGGGTTTAGGGTTATAAATAAACTTTCTGCATAAATATTATTTTTTTGTTTGTTTTTTGTATATTTGGAAATAAATCCCAAAGCTGCTACTCCCTAAAAAGTCCATGAGCTATAAAATTATGAGGCTTAAATGATGTTAGTAGTTGCTAACATTAACATTGTTGTTGTTAAGGGGTCCTGGGTTTGTACACGAGAGGTTTTTACATGGATGGTTTGAACACCTCAACACATTTATCCTGGGTTGCTCCTGGAAACGGGTTATTTGCTTCTGATTGGTAGCTAGGAGCAAAGGAAAGATATGCAGGTCTTGAATTTAACTGTAGATAAGAAAACTATGTCTCCTGACCTGATTTTTAGGTTAACTTTGTAAGACTTCATCAAGACCTTCTTATCTGTCTGTCAGCTGTGTGTTCTGTTAGCATCAGATTAGATTTGTATTTGTGAATAAGCTAGTAGCTGAGCCTCTACAAGAGTCTAGATGTGTGATCTAAAGAAAGCAGGAAAATATCCAGAACATGAATGTGTCTGGACATAAAAAGAGAAACAATCAAAAACGTGCACATTTGTGCTTGCTGTCCTTTATTTTCCTTTTCTAGTCTTTCTAAAGCTTATGCTCTTGGACGCCATTCCTGCTTTCCTTTGGGACGAAGCATTTGCTCCTTTACCTCCAAATTACTGTCTGTTTTCTCACGGCACTGTTCATGATCGTAATTTGTGCTGGACTGGAACTCCCAGTTCCTTGTCAAATGGTGTTACTGTGTAAAGACGCCACCTGCTGGATCGTAACAGACCGTTTCTGACATTCAGTCACAGTTTCATAGAAGGAATACAGATGACTTTGATTAATTTACTCCAAATCAAAGCTGAACCGCAATGAATTGACTGAATGTCAGATGAGGTTGTAAATCTCTTACTGTGCGTCTGTTTTCATGCATGCCCTTGTTTATCTCTTTGCTTCACAGACGCAGTGGATCTGGGTTCCCCGGACGAGCTGATGGATATTTCAGAGGTGGATGAAGGAGTTTGGCCAGCTGGGATGGGGCCAGATATGACCCCTCCCACCATCACTATCAGCAACAGCACCACAACATTGAACCTGGGAGCCAAGGCCCTGAAGAAGTGTCGGCTCGGCGGGCGCAACAGCAAGGACAAGGAAGCGGGGCCTCTAGTAACAGGCCGGGCTGCGAGCGAGAACACAGAGCTGTCCGTCAAGCGACTTACACTCACTTCCAGCCAGTCGGTGCCCAAAGGGGGTGCTCTCACCAGCCTGACGCGCACCGCCAGCGCCGTCTTCTCTCGTTCTTTTGAGCACGTGGCCAGCAGCAACCCTCCTCCTGCCAGCAACCACACAGCCTCTGAGGCAGGTAGCTACTCCTGCAGCCTGCAGGAGGAGGGGCTGGGGTACCTAAGTCCTGCCTCAAACCACACCCAGCGTTCCCCCAGCATTAGCCTGCTTCTTGGCTCTGACCTTTGAACTCTTTGTAACTGTATGAACCCTCATCTCTGAGCCTGTGATCTTGTGACCCTGTACCTGTGACCTGAAACTCCAAGCCATGCCAACTGCCGTTGACCACAAACACGTGAAGAACTCTTCCGCTTGTATTCTCCGTCACTCCGTTTATGATTTTCAGTGCTGTAAACCGGCTTGCTGCGAACGTCGGAGCACCTGAGCTCCATCGGCACCTCTCCCCCTGCAGGGTCTCGTCTCAGCCTCACAGAGGCGTGAAAACTCCACTTCCAACTTTGTTCATTTTAGGAATGACAGGACAAAACTGAGCTACCTGTCAGAAAAGAAGGCACTTAAACATCATCACCAAAACTGTTGGAGAAAATAGAAAGTAATTAAAACTGCATTTGTTGTATGGCTTTACCATACGTCCATCCTTACCTTGCCCTGGTGTGTCTGAAGAAAAGTGTACGGTTGGTGTGAGCAGGCGTGCGTGTGTGTATTTGTGTGCATGTGTGTGTGTGCAACTGTTTTTAGAAAAAGGCTGCTGATTACAACAGTGAACAAGGTGTGATTCTTTTAATTAAAACGTGTTTCTACAACTTTTTGTAATACTAGTAAATCCTTCCCATAGCAATACAAACCCATTCTTTTCAGTATTTTTTCTGTTTTTTGGGGTTGAGTTGTTGAACTGCTGTCTACATTTGTCAGCTGTTTTACATGCTTTGTAAAAGAAAGTTATTTTTCCTAAAATACGTAAAAAGCAACCAATGAATAATCAACCAGTATCAAAAGAATCGGGTCTTACGTTTACAATCACACAGTGTTCTCTTCATTACGGAGAAGCAATATTTTTCCTTTTTGCTCCTCAAGCACCTTCCTTACTTGCCGTGTACCAAATGGCAAAAGTTATGATCCAGCTTGTTTTACTTGGCAGTCGCTTTACATTTTTTGGGCTAATGGTCGGTGTGTATGATTAATTCAGTGTTGAATTTTGCACATAGAAGAGAATATCAGTTGTTATCAACTTTGGTATTTTTGTATAAACGAGAAGTTTGACTCTCGCATTGTATTTTTTCCCAAGACAAATATGCTTTGTTGCTCCATAAACTCAACTTTTCTATGTTTCCACCTAACCATGCAAGTCCAAAACTGCGTAAATCAGTAATTTACTTGCATTCAAGGACTAAATGGTTTGATACTCGTGTATTTTTGATTGACCCCAAAATGTAATTGAATTTTTTGGCGTTCAGCAAATGGAGGCATGTTTAGGGTGACATGGTATTTTTATGTGTTTTAATATACACACCATTTCAGAAGTTTATTACCCAAGTGATGTTTCCTTCTTTCCTCCTCGTTTATTACATTATCATGTTTCAAGACATGGTAATAACAAAATAATAAATTTGTTTGCTACAATTGATGTCCTAAATCAAGCATTCATGCTGCTCCACATGATAGCACTCTGTGTATTGTAGTTGTTGAGTGTCTATAGCTTGGTGCGACAGTACCAATCACGTTTCTTTTATGTTTGTTTACAGTGAATTACTATTGTTGTACATCTTACTGTTAAAATGAAGTTTCTTATATTGGCCTTTCTTTGTCTGAAAAGAACTCATCACTATAAATTCTGGGAATAAAGTGTTTCTATATTTCACTTGAGTGCTTGGTAAGGTTTTTTAATCATCTGTCAGAAGGCCTCCTATAAAACCTCATTTTGGCCACACCGAAATAGAAAAAAATTAAATAAATAAAGTCTTAGTTATGAGATGCTCTCAGTATTATGACTTAATATGTGATAATTTTGTCATAGTAAGTCATACTTTTGACATAATTTTGCAATAGCCTATCATTACTGTTTTTTAAGTAGTGAAAATTGGGAAATTCATACAAACATCAACTTTAAACATTTTATAAGTAAAAGTTATTCAGTCCTATCGCCTCTATATACTATATGCATGTACAATGTCGAGGCTGTATAGTTATGACAGTTTAGCTAGATTTTTCCTGACTAAATAATTTATAGCTTTGAGTTAACTTGACATTATTAGAAACTTTTTTTTATTGTTAATTATGCTTCCATTTATGACCTGCATGCATTCTCAGTTGTGACCACTAAGTGGCAGCAACGGCGACCTAGTGCGTTGGACTACTACGTCACTTCCTTTTTCCTGTCCTTGGAAGTGTTGGAAGCCTCGCTGGTTTGGATATACACATGGCTAAACTGAGTAAGGAGACCAAGCAGCGGCTGCAGCAGCTGTTCCAGTGCGGCCAGTTTGTTATCCGATGGGGTTTTATTCCAACTGTGCTGTACCTCGGTCAGTATCTGAACACCTAAGAGGGAACGATGTTCGGGAGCTACGTTTAGCCGTTGTCAGCTAACTAGCTAAGCTGTTAGCTGTAACTAAAAAAACAATGTTCCTGCTTATTTAAACAAAAAAGACTGAAGTATAAATTAAAATGGGCATACATTTTACTTTGTAGTTTTTATAATGTAAAAGGCTCAGTTTTGTTTTATTAGCGCAGAGCAGCCGTAGTCAACTTGCATGATGTGGTGTGTAACGCATTATGCTAATCTAACCCAGTTTAAAAAGATGAACAGAAACAGGTCCACTTTTTAACCATCGTTTTTAGACTACAAGACAGCCCTCCTCCACCTCTTGAATCTTCACATTGATAACCTTGGTCCTGAGGGATCACAGCAGGTTGATTGATACAGTTCCTCCTGAGGCATGTCTGAAGGACGAACATTCTTCCGTGGCAGTGTTGCCAGATAGTCGAGGTTTTCCAGCCCAAAAAATCTGTTAAAAACCGCCGCATCACACAAAAACCCGCCCAATCAATATATTGTTACATTTACTGTTTGACCATGAACGTACATACATGCCAATACATGTATATATATATATAGATATATATCTATATATATATATATACACATACACACACATACAGGTCCTTCTCAAAAAATTAGCATATTGTGATAAAGGTCATTATTTTCCATAATGTAATGATAAAAATGAAACTTTCATATATTTCACATTCATTGCACACCAACTGAAATATTTCAGGTCTTTAATAGTTTTAATACTGATGATTATGGCATGCAGCTCATGAAAACCCAAAATGCCTGTCCCAAAAAATTAGCATATTTCATCCCACCAATGAAAGACAAGTGTTTTTAATACAAAAAACACCAACCTTCAAATAATCATGTTCAGTTATGCACTCAATATTTGGTCAGGAATCCTTTTGCATGAATGACTGCTTCAATGCGGCGTGGCATGGAGGCAATCAGCCTGTGGCACTGCTGAGGTGTTATGGAGGCCCAGGATGCTTCGATAGCGGCCTTAAGCTCATCCAGAGTGTTGGGTCTTG